TCCGCGTGTTTTCCAGTCTATACCTGCTCGTCTGCATTGCTCATCCGGGAGAGCACATTGAACATTGCAAGTTAAAAAGCTTCAGAGTTTTCACCGGAATAATTGGTTAGGCCAACAAATCTTTCGTTAATTTTTAATTTCTTGTACACTGAAATACAAATGGTAAACAATCAAGCAACATAAGCAAAAACAAATTGAGTCGCTAGTTTTGAATCATGATGTGATATATATTTTGCTATATAAATGTTAACTTTAGAAGTATCTTTTGTTATAGATATGTTAGCTTCAAACGTATTGTAATATATTCAATAACGCAAACTGATCACGGAATATCATAGCGGTGTATTTAAAATAATGCGTGAATGTTACACATGGTCGAATGAAGACAAAGCACATCATCAGGTCAAAAAGGAAAAAAAATTCAAAAATTTAAATGCATTGCTTAATTCATGTTCTTTTATAGTTCTCTCCGCTCAATAGTGTTTTCTCTTTTGCATATTCTCGCACACTCAGTAGCCCCCTTGCGTCTTAGTGGCTTAACTTCCTTGTTTAAGGTGAAATGATTAAAATATGTCTTAAATATATATAAGAAATCTTATATGTGCCGCTTCGATTCAGGACATAGGCTATCATGACTTTCTATCTCACGTGACTCTTAGCAGCTTTTCACCGTTTGCTAAGGCTATTGTCCCTCCCTGTTATGGCATCCATTTACACATGCTTTCCGGGTAAGCAGTTTCCAGCATTCCCTTATATTTCTTGCCCTCAATATTTGACGTGAGGGTTAAGTTTTCCAAGGCCACCTTCCACATTATGTGTCCAAGGAATTTCATTTAATGCTCGACCGTTTTCGCCGGGTCTAAATATAAACTTCTCGACCCAGGGATTGAACTCACAATCACTCTATCACTAAATTCACGAAACAACACTTTAATCCACTAGGCCATTGTCCCATAGTTGAAGGACGAAGGGGCAACGACCGAAACCTTGGGATAACAAAAACAAACATTATAGTTAGGATAAAAATAGTGTAAATAAGTCGTCTATTGTTTTCAGTGGCAGAGGTTTTTCGTTACAAAGAGGTTAGAAATAGTAAAATTTTGTCACAGCTTTTCTATGGATTTATTTCCATCAGATCTGTAACTTTGGATCTGCTGGTTGTCATGCCAACAAAATTTTTATTGCGGGTAATATTTTTTTTCAAAAATGTATAGCTGGTAATATTTTTTCAGAATTGTATAATTGGTAATATTTTTTCAGAAATTTATAGCTGGTATTTTTTTTTTCAGAAATGTATAGCTGGTAATAAGATTTTGTTTTTCAAAAATGTATCGTTTGGTTTGGTTTGTTTTGTGGCATATTAACCTCAATGGGTTATTTAATGCCGACAAGATTTTTATTGCTAGTAAATATTTGTTTTTTCAATTTAATGCCGACAAGATTTTTATTGCAGGTAATATTTTTATCAGAAATGTATAGCTGGTAATATTTTTTCAGAAATTTATAGCTAGTAATTTGTTTTTCAGAAATGTATAGCTGGTAATATTTTTTCAGAAATGTATAGCTAGTAATTTGTTTTTCAGAAATTTATAGCTGGTATTTTTTTTTTTTCAGAAATGTATAGCTGGCAAATTTTTTCAAAAATGTATAGGTGGTAATAATTTTTTGTTTTTCAAAAATGTATCGTTTGTTTTGGTTTGTTTTGTGGCATATTAACCTCAATCGGTTATTTAGTGTCGACAAGATTTTTATTGCTAGTAATATTTTTTTTTCAAAAATGTATAGGTACTAATGTTTTTTCCAAAAATGCATTGCTGGTAATATTTTCATTTACAAATTTATTGCTGGTAATATTTGTCTTTCAAAAAATTATTGCTGGTAGTAATTTTTTTTACAAAGTATTTCTGGTATTAAAATCTATTTTTACACTTTCATAGTGTTTTGAGTTAGTTTCGGGGTTAACTATTTGCCCATAGCTGGGACCCTAACAGGTGCTACTACTCCGGGTCAGAGTGGACCGGGGAATACCAGCAATTAAGAGGTGGTTCCATGCTCCTAAAAATCTCTTGATCAGAGGCCTTGGTGTTGGACATAGTTTATCGTCTTACCCAGGACGCGGATGTAGTTTATCGTCATACCCAGGACGGGCAACCAGTCTAAATCTTTGGATTCCACAACGTGGAGATGGCAACGGGAAACCAGTTCACTATATTTCTCACAAATGCATGGCAATCGACAGATAATAAAATTTAATCTGTGTAAAGCCATGATCGCGTAACTGAAGTGACAGATTATTTAAAAATAATAATGATCTGAAATAATCAAATGAAAGAAAGAATGAAAATACTTTATCTCAGAGTTCATATAATTTCGACAAACAATCTTTGTATTTAAGAAGATAATTAGAATGTTAATTAAAAAAGCAAAACCTTTCTATATTTTTGAGATGAGGTATTATGTACATTATTTACATTATTTGGACATGGCACAGTGGATAAAGGCATTGGTTAGATCGAGTGAAAGGACTCAAAGAGTGTGAGTTCAATACCCGGTTAAGGCAGTGGAGAACCTTCAGAGGGAAATTAACAGGAGATAACTGATAACTGACATCCATTAAACCTGGCACGTGGAACAAGAACAGTCTACACCAGTGAGCGAAATAAAGGGTTCAGTTCGACATTCCAACCACCTGAAGAAGGCCGAAGCGTACAACGTCCGAAACGTTGTGATAAATATGACGACAAAGATGAGGACAATAGTCCGAATAATGTAAATAATGTAAAAAAGCAAATAATTTAATAATTAAATACCATGTATATTGAAGTATAGTTAAGTCCTCTTTCGAAGATGAGATGGCTATTACTCTACGCCATCAGTCGGTGTTCGAGCCTAGATAAATCCAGTCAATTGAAAATCTATTTTACAATGCAGCCAGCTTCTCCCATCATTTTGCTGATACAGTGATGGTTTTAACTCATGAAATCTAAAACAGAAACATTATTAAATGTCTAAGCTAAGCAAGAATTTTATCGATATCTTACATGCGTATAAGCTTCTTTCCTTGTAAAATCTAGAATCTACACGTGTATAAGAAATTGTAAGTTATCATGTCTGCTTATTTAGTGAATGACCCTACTTTACACCATCCTCATCCCTCAAGAATTCAGAAGCAATCTTTTAATACTGACAGGTCTGCTATCGCGCTTTCTCGAAGAGCGAAGATTCTTATCTACTCCTACTTGGGGACTAAGAATGTTCACATTCTCTTTCCAGCCAACAATCCAATCGTTAATTAGCAACAAACGTAGTAAGACAGTATCATCACTACTCCTATACTTATCTGCCTCATCTTCAACCTAATCATACGCCAAGCATATTCTTGGCATCATCGTCTCAATGGACATCTCATTGGGACCAAGTCTCAGAGATAACATTGCCCGCCGCAAGGAAATTAAGGTTCCTATCATGAGCCATTGAGTACCCTTCTACAATACTGTATGACACGCAATACTGCAACTTAGTTAAGTAAACATTAATAAATAAAGCACTGAGGTTAGAACAAAGGGCTGAATAAATTAGAGAAATATTTATCAGCCCCTATCTATATCGATTATTGAGGGAATATCTTGGTTTACACACAGAAAGCACTAGTTGTCGTTCGGTCACCGACATTAAGCAGCGTCGAGCCTAGCCAATACTTAGATGGGGGTTCTGCTTAGTAAAGCCAGGAACTGTAAGCATTAGGTTAGCAAACGTGACAAAGGAAATTCACCATGAGGATATGTTAAAATGAAGTGGTGCGTACAACGACAGACCATTCATCCAGACCCCATTTTACGGCGGATGAACATCAAAATCAGTTATAAGATTTTCTACCATTATGCATCGTGTCCATTTAGGCCGTGGATGATCATGGCTCTCCACAATTTCCTATGTAGCTTTTAGTAATATTTGTCTCGTTACTATCCCTCCTAGTGCCTGTTCTGCTCTATATTTATGCAATCGATATCATTCTATGCCATATCATTATATCCTATCTCTTACTCGCAGAAGCAGTATTACCGGTTACATCGATGTGCCAGACACGGCGATCTAGCCCTACACTGAGGGTTGTTTCAGCGGAGGCAGTACGGGTTCAAACAAGACTCAGTTTCCTCCCACATAAGCGGATGACCCAGGAGTATAAGTGGTTGAGAGTTTTCACGCTCACCCTAACTTGTGACCTTCAATCTCTCCTGGCTGGAATCTCCTAGAATAGGAAGGTCCTTCAAACGGAGACCTGACAGAGGCCTGGTAATAGGAAGAAGTCACTGAAGGTCATTATTGCGGGCGTGATCGCTAACAAAAACAGGAGCTACTTGATCTGGGCCTAATGTTGCTTTCGATGCCGATTCGAAACCATCCTCATAGTTGGTCATTGTATTCAATAATCTTTTCTGTTTTACTGGGGTGAATATATGTGTATATTCATTATTTTTAATATGCTCATTTTTCTATTTAATATCTTAGTTTTTTATTGATTTTAAATTGTTCTCATTTACTTGGCGCACACTGTATATCAGATTCTATTAGACTAAACCATTGCATTCAAAATGTGTCATGATCTACCACTTGATTGAGATATTTTGCATATTTCTCAGTGGAGTCAGTGGTTGGTTTTAAACCCTGTTTGTTTAAATTAACGCCATCTCGACGTGTACTTTAGTTACACATTTACCGAAGTTCTAAAAGTTTAATACAAAAGATATTTATCAGTATATATTATTTCTATCTTTTATCTGTTTGTTAAGGCTTTATTGATTTAAAACTCAATAATGTAACATAAATTAGGCATTTTACTAGCGATCTCTATTGCAATTTCCGTAACGACTCAATCTTGTTTGCCTTGGAAATCCATTTTCTGAACACTAAAGTGATGATAAAGATTTGATGTACAGACGTGAGCCTGTAATATTTTCCTAAATCATGTTTATTGCCTTGGTGACTGTTTAGTGTCTGAGATGGCGGCGTATGTGCTTCCGGTCCTTATAGCCGGTGTTCAAATCAGGGAAAAACGAGAATTTCGACTTGGATTTCAGAGTAGGTAGATTCCCAACTAATTGGAATACTGGCAGTATCTGAAACATCCCACCCCTCCGAAGTAGCTAGTGTAGTCATAAAATCTATCTATCTATCTATCTATCTATCTATCTATCTATCTATCTATCTATCTATCTATCTATTGTACGGGATAAGCGATTTCCAGAGAATGAATTTAATATTTAAGTCCGTTTTTGTCTTATCGACTGTCTCACTCTCTCTAAGCGCCCGACTTCCAATAACATTTCGCGTAAAGTAAATCAAATAAAGCACGATCCAAAGTCTTTGGTTCGACGTAGACATTTCAGCCTTCAAGAATTTCGGGCAATCCGCAAGAAAAGAAATAAGACACGGGTGAGCCGGTGCATTAGAAATACGACTCGTTTCTTTTAAAATGGCCGAATAAAATCTTTTCTCAGTGCAGCAACGCTTATTTCCGAAGTGCTTTCATATATACGTAAAATACGATAGTGGTGCTTTCAAACATGCTAATACATTTATTCCAACCCGTCCTCATCTATCTATCTATCTATCTATCTATCTATCTATCTATCTATCTATCTATCTATCTATCTATCTATCTAATCTTGTTCGTGCAAACCAGCCTCACATTATCTACATATTAACTAAGTTCATTCCTATCTATCTATCTATCTATCTATCTATCTATCTATCTATCTATCTATCGTTATACGAATAGTTTGATAATAAATACTCATTAAATGTTTCAAAGTTATATCTGCTAATAAAATCTACTGATATTTAATATTATATAATTTGTCGATCATTATAAAAAGGAATTACTGCATCTAGACAAAATTTCGCATTTAAAAATCCAGATTTTTTTAATTTATTGAAATGCATAGTCATATTCAAATGAACATCTAATCATTTACATAAGAGTCTTTTGTTATCACATTCTCTTTATACCCAGAGATATCATTTATACTGATTCCTCTGCATTAATGTTTTTATTTTTGCATATATTTAAATATATCAGCCTCATTATAATTATCTATCTATCTATCTATCTATCTATCTATCTATATCTATCTATCTATCTATCTATCTATCTATGCATATTAAATATAGATATTTCAAGATATTCGTAAGCAGACTTGTTTGTTTCAGAAAACACAAATGTATATATTTATATATATATATATATATATATATATATATATATATATATATATATATATACATTGTGTGTGTTGTTGTGTATATAGATATATTATATATATATATATATATATATATACATATATAAATTCCCAAGTGGATAGAATTAAGGTAGAACTGAATGTCCAAGACAGAGTAAGAATATAATATAAAAGGCTCAAACACTAATATTCCATAGTTTATCATTTATTACATTGGAATAATCACGATCCAATTCATCAGACCTATAAATTCAAAAAAGATCTGATGAATTGATCTGATTACGATTACAATACACATTATAACCATGTAATATTAGTGTTTGAGCCTTTTATATATATATATATATATATATATATATATATATATATATATATATATATATATATATATATATATATATATCTTGATATATATATATATATATAATAGTTATATATATATATATATATATATATATGATAAAATGTAGTTTTAAGGTATGCAATATTTATGCTACAAAGTGCTCAATATCAGGGATACAGCATATGTAAATATAGCAGAGAATATTGACGACAACACCGACCGGCGACAATCTGTTTCATGCCTAATCGTCTGGCCATGTGCGTAGTGTTATGAATCGACTCTTTATAGATGATGACAATTGGTGCATTATGGGTATGTCTGTTGTATAATTCTTAACGCTATTTCTGTGGGCTGTAACAGTCAAGATTCAATAAATTAAGCATTAATAAATAACGTGTAACAAGGTAACAAACGACACTATAAAATAGTTCCAAAGCTACATCCGGATCCACATTATTTCCAATCCCCCCCCCAATAATTTGATCGTTACCACTATGTCAAATATCAGTGAAAATAAAGGAGTGTATTATGCAAATATATCAGTTCATTAGGCGATGGAGTAATGGATAGGGGCTCGGATTGAGGAATCGGGGAGCCGAGTTCGAATTCCAGTCGAATCCATTACATTCACTTACGTGCTAATACCCTTGGGAAAGTTATGAATCATCTAATCCCCCTTGGGTAAATAGCAAGACAGACTGAGTTCTATAGCCTTGGATGGCAACTGGTCTGCCTCGTCAGTCATGTATCGTAAAAGCCATAAAGGATAGGTATCTCTATATAGACCTATGCACCACTAATCATCATAATCAAGCTAAAACAGACGGCGAATGCTTTTAAGCATTTAACAGAATGTTGTCGCTGGGTGTTCACTTCAATGTCCACACGATGAATTACTTTAATATATAGGTCCACTTATATATATATATATATATATGAAAGCAATTCATCGAGTCTAGAAGAATCCTCAACAGAATGTAGAAAGCACTTGACGGTCGTTTCGTGATATTTTGGGACTCATTAGCAGTGCACATCCAATACCTAGAAACGAACCCGGAACGTTATAATACGACGCAAACATCAAACCCACTGGAGCAACGAGTTTCGGTGACGAAGAGATGAATAACTAGACCAACTAGCGCCGCTGACACTAAATTCCCCCGTGTATGTCATCCAAGTATACTTTACACAACGGATGGTGCCCCCTCACTTGCATATATATATATATATATATATATATATATATATATATATATATAATGTCTGTTTCATTCTTTTTTTTATTTATTTATCTATCTATCTATCTATCTATCTATCTATCTATCTATCTATATATCTATCTATCTATCTATCCCAGTCTGTAAATATCTATATATCACAGTCTGTTCATATCTATCTATCTATCTATCTATCTATCTATCTATCTATCTATCTATCTATCTATCTATCTATCCCTGTCTGTAAATATTTATATATCCAGTCTATTCATATATCTATCTATCTATCTATCTATCTATCTATCTATCTATCTATCTATCTATCTATCTATCCCTGTCTGTAAATATTTTATATCCAGTCTATTCATATCTATCTATCTATCTATCTATCTATCTTCTATCTATCTATCTATCTATCTATCTATTCCAGACTGTTCGTATCTATCTATCTATCTATCTATCTATCTATCTATCTATCTATCGCAAACTATGTAGCTAACTATATGTCTGTTTAATGCTGAGTTCATCCTTCATTAATGTATATTTTCTATCACGTCGGTCCCCACCGACTAATTAGCTATTTTCACGTGTTCACATTGAATACATAATGAGGTACAGACAAATAATTTCATTGGGACATGCCACACGGTGGAAAGATTGACTTATTTCTTTCTGATGCAAGAGGTTGGCGTTCGAGCCCAGATAAAAGCAAAAACTTTGAATGTGGATCATGACATACACTCTCAGCCAATTTGAGAGAATCTTCAAACAGATTCTTCGTTGCCGTTTCATTTGTCATTGAGCAATACCAAAGTCGAGATTAATAATTCTATTGTCGAATAGTTCTTCACGTTTTCCATACTCTGAAGTCGATTCCCTAATTTCGTCTAAAGGTTCACCTTCTTCTTTCTCGGCGTTTTCTCTTTTAATTAAATTACCACGCAACTTTATCCAAAGGACGAAGATTTTATTTCTTATCTCATGGTCGAGAATGGAAGCGGGGATCAGCCGACCATTGCGACTCGCCGCACATTATCTTCAAAAGAGGGTCTTGCCCTAAGTAACCGACTAAATTATCCATTATTCTTTCTTTTCACCCTCGATTTCTTCTTTTCTTCTCTGCCTTGATCCATTTGCCTTTCTTCCCACTTGAAGCTATTTTATCTATTCTACTGAATTCACATGTTCTGTATCTTTCCGTTTTGATACAATATAACTTTCGGCATTGGTATCAGGTTATTTGCAAATCTCTTCACTCTGTCCGCTCTAAACAGTCAAATTATTACGAAAAAGCACAGCAGCGAATGATTCGATTGGATGAACGGACAAACGGACGTTGGAAATGCAATAATGGTCAGAGCAAGTAGTTTCCAACTCACTTCAAATATAGGCGATCCAGTCGGCTTTAAAATAGTGGCTACAACACCAACATGGAAACTGACTGCCATAACCACGATACACATCATCCAGCTATGCTTCTTTACATGTTCGTTATCTTTCTGAAATATTAGACATATGCATATATACATCGTATTCATACTTTGTCCTCTTCCTTTGCCAAACCTAGCACCATCGTTTTCACCTGAAGATTCTTACGCCAATATTTTATTGAAACAATGTCCATGTACGGTACTTCTGTTTTTTTTTTGTTTATGTTTTTAATTTTAATCCGTTTTTAATTGTCCGCCATTTTCTTTCTCTTGTTGAAGTATTTTTTTGTATTAGTTTAAGTTTGCTTTCTATTTTTCCTTCATTTATTCCCCAACTTTTTTTTTTCGTCACTCATTCTTTTTTCCTCTGATTTAACAGTCTTAATATGACACTTTATCTTCCTCTTCGTTATTTTTTTTTTTCGTTTGATTTTCGGCTACCCGACTCTAATTTTAGTGCTTCTGTAATTTTTTCCACTTCCTCGTAACATTCACTTTCCTCCTCCTCATCATCATAATCATAATCATCTTTTTCTTCCTTATATTTTTCTCCTTTCCCTTTCGTTAGTTTTTTGCTCCGACTTCATTTTTATCTATCCTTCTCCTGTCCCCCTCCTCCTCGTTCTCCTCCTCCTCCTCTTCCTCCTCCCTTCCTCTTCCCTCTCCTCCCCATCATCATCATCATCATCATCATCATCAACCTTTATTTCTTTCTAATTTTCTCTCTCCCTATCTTTCCCAGTTTATTTTCTTCAATTTCTCAGTCTTTTCATTCCTCTTCTCCATCTGCTTTATTATCACATCTAGAATTTTTCCGCCATCATGACTCTGGAACCTTTACCTTGCAAGCTATCGACGACATTTTTACCTGCGGGTTCGTCTTTTCAGCATACGAAACAAAGTCGTGCACGCGTACACAGGTCCTAACGACAGGGTTAATATTTGTTTTATGTGTCATTGGTTGAACTCCGTTCAGAGTCGTTGGCATGAAGGAGGCAAAGCCAAATCTCCATTCCACCCCCGCTCTCTTTCACTGATTCCCCCCCAAAAAATTCTGATCTGCCTTTGGTTTCTTCCTTTCTCTTATCATTTTTCACCTTGGGCGTTCACCGGTGGCGCATGTAATTCAGAAAAAATGCTGAGTTTGACGCCCTGTTCATAACCTCGCAGTCAACTAGGCGGTAATCTTCCGACAGACACTCCTCTCGATTCAAAGTATTATTATTTCTTCCCGGTAAATATTTCTTTATTTTTTTTAAAACTTCTTTACTCTTATTTTCTCTTTTCCATTTTGGATTTTTGATAATTTTAAGTCCTATTTTATCATTTCCGGCATCCCTTGCCTCTGCACACGCATATTCACTGATGTAATGGTGGTACAACGGTTATCAATGCGGCAAGCAAAATCTCCGGGCCCAGTTCAAATTTCAGTCGTCTCTGCTTCGTTCACTCGACGCTAATGCGGTGGGTAAATCAATCATCCTTTAATTATTTGTTAAATAGCAGGGTAGACTTGGCTTACTTTCCTTGAATGGTGTCTAGCATAGGAGAAGAAAAAATAAATTTAATACTCGAAGATGACTGTTTGGGAAATTTGTGGCACGCTGTATCTTTTTTCTCTGTTAACAATTGTTCTGTAATATATAGGTGGTTCTACAAAACCATCACCACTACAATCAAATCCTCTCTGATTGTAGCCTAGTGGTTCAATTCTAAACAGAATTTGGACCCCACGTATCGAAACTTGATAATCATTTACGCTGAAATTCCTACCCAGATGTCCTCAAGGACACATGGCACAGTGGATAAAGGCGTTGGTTAGATCCAGTGACAGGACCCAAAAGTATGTGTTCAATACCTGGTTAAGGCAGTGGAGAGGGGAATTAACAGGAGATATAACTGATAACTGACATCCATTAAACATGGCACGTGGAACTAGAACAGTCTAGCACAGTGAGCGAAATAAAGGGTTCAGTTCGACATTCCAACCACCTGAAGAAGGCCGGAGCGTACAACAGTCGAAACGTTGTAATGAAGGACAATAGTCCGAATAATGTAAATAGTGTACATAATACCTCATCTCAGAAATATAGACAGATACTGAATCATTTAGCTTATCTATATAAGACACAAGGCAATAGGTGTGGCCCACTCAGTGATCTAACGTTCGCAATAATTGGCTGTAAGATATTTATTGGGTGACTTTGAATCAGTTATTGGGTGTGTTTGAATCAGTTATAACAAATTTTGTTAAAATAGTTGAAATGAATACTACAGAAAAGAATGAAGTTTAATATAGAATAGGCATGTTGCTACAAAACCAAAACATTAACATAAAAACCCGAGTCATATTCTTAAATAGCCTCACCAGATCAAAATTTTCATATAGAAGTGATGCATGGTTTCTAAATCATTCAGTAATATCTTAACTGTCAGCTGTATACAATTGCTTTCTCAGTCCAATGGATAAAATACCGCTTAGTGATTTAAACCTATAGATCTGTGCGAGGACAATCTTTCTTTGGATCTTGTGAACTGGCGCTACACAATCATGAAGAACTGTACCTAAAAACAAAAACCATATCATAAAAAATCAACAAAAACAACAACTAAAATGGATAGCCCAGTTTATTCGAAGAGAAAATAATGGCATAATCGTGATTTTGACGTTTGAACAAAAGGTTAGGAAGGAAAGCTCCTCATAAATACTAAAAAGTTCGACAACAAATATTGGGCTTAAGAAAACTATTTTCCTGAAAAATTGTTTTACTTGCATTATTTACATTATTTTGTAAAGTCAACAAACACTTGCTTGATACTTCGTCAATACCAACGTAGTAGAGACTTTGTAATCGCAGACACAACTATAGTACACGTTGAACAATACTGGTGTCAGACGCCTACGAATATTACTAGTACTAATAGTACTTCATACAGAGAAATACTATAGTGATCCGAATAGAGGATAGAGAAGAAATGGTGATCCATATATTATAGAGGATAGACTATTAATAGCGAACACGTAGTAATAGCGGAAAGACTAGGAATAGCGAACACGCAGACGTCAAGCGACTTCCTCTATATATGCGTTTCCGCTATGGTCACGTGATCCACTTAGATCAATAATGAGATTGCCTGTGTTTGCTCGCGATCTATGTCCAAAAACAAGTGTCTGCAGCGACACTTCATCCTTATATAAAACATTATTCGGACTGTTATCCTCATCTTCATTGACACATTCACAATGTTTCGGTCTTTGTACGCTCCAGCATTCTTTAAGTAATTGGAATTTCGAAACGATCCCTTTACTTCGTCCACCGGGGTAGATTGTTCTAGTTCCGCGTCTCATGCCTCTTCCGGATGACTCTGTTAATCCCCTTTAACTCAACTCTCCATTTTTTTTTTGATTCGCCACTTCTGTGGCCTGGGTTTGAACTCACAACTCTTTGAGTCTAGTCACTAGATCGAACCAACGTCTTTATCCACTGGGTCGATTCGAAATTCCAATCATCTGAAGAAGGCCGGAGCGTACAACGGCCGAAACGTTGTAAATATAGCAATGAAGATGAGGATAACAGTCCAAATAATGTAAATAAAGCAAGTAATCATAATACCTCATCTCAGTGATATACACAGAAAATTGTTTTAATTGAAATATTTTATGTATTTCAACCGACAATAATATTGGCTGCTTGGTCAATAAATTCCGAATGTTTCCTTATAAAACGGCTAATATTAAAATTCCTATTTCACTTGTACCTACTGGGGACCAGAGAATCCGTATATTATGGATGAACATCATGCTTATTTACTAGGAGTGAGAGTATGATGCGTAATATATATACTATATTTTTATATGGTAATCTGACTAGTCCCGTTTACTTGAACTTGCTACGGCAGTCTGCCATCCCACACATTCAAGATGTCTTTGAGGATGGGACAGAAATTTACCAAATTACCAAAATCACTTTGTGTCAGCCTCCACTATGTCTTCCCAACTGGTGAGAGGAAAAAGATCATTCAGACGTTCCGTAATGGTACCAGCATTCATATACTAGTTTTCAT